TCAGAATGAATATTTACAGAAGAAGGGAAAGATATCTGTTGGCTGTGATTGGTTTGTGAGAGCAGGTGTTTCTGTGATGATCTGGAGAATTCAAGGATGAGGCCAATCATGGATTTCTTTCTTAATGCACGTTTAATTACGAGCTCCGATCAACATGCCTACATGCAGAAGCTATGAAATAAGTGTGAACAGAGTGAGACACAGCTTATAGGATGGTGGCATGTATACTATTACCTAAAATGGTGCCTTGACACATTTAGCTTGGCCTTGGGCCAACTAAAATTAGCCTAACTTGTCCGTTCATCAGTAAGCCTAGCACTTCTGGCGAATTTAGTATCTTAGGTTCGGTTGGCTGGTACTCAGAGAAACACTGGAGACCAATTGAATCCGGCACAATCGAGTTTAATGTGTTCACAAGCTTCAACACATAAAACTCATGAGTCAGGCTCCGGAGTAAGACTGAAGACTCACTTTCTGAGCTCTCCCTTTTATGCTGGTGAAGATTTGAGAGAATCTCCACCCTTTTCCTTTTAGCCCTTCCTACCAGGGCCCAAACCTACTGGTGGCAGGCCTTTTTGCCTTTGTTCAGACATGCCCAAACATGCCCAGGCATGTCTTAATGGCGTAATCTTTTTTCCCCCGGCCTGGAAATCCCCAAACTCTCCCACCGTTAGGTTCGAACTCGGGTTCACACTATTTTTTAAAAACATATGGAACTTGGGGACTATTTCTATAAGGTCCCTTGTGCCTTCATGCAATATAAAACCTTAGAGAGTGTGTGTGTGTCTATTATTACACTTCCAGGCAGTACATGGTATGGTATGTGTGTGTGTTTTCAATATATGAATACAAAACTTGTGTAAAAGTGTCATACATGGATACATAAAAACATTATTATATGAACTTCAACCTTAATCAACTTCACTGATTAATGATTAAATCTTCCTTCCTTTCAAATTAAATTTCCACATGGTCCAGTCATATAGGTTTTGATTTATTTTGACAAGGCGCAGCTCCTAACAGAGTTTCACGTTTGTTTTGGGGGGGTTTTCCGCAACTAAGTGACCAGTGAAATCTTGATGACTAATGTCCTTCTGGTCGACTAACGTTTGGTCAACTATTAGGGGGCAGCCCTATACAAAAGCATCAAAATAGAGCTTGTTCATAAAATAAAAATCCTAGAGTACCCACTACTTCATCTGGTATAGCAGGGGTCCCATGTACAAAGGCTGGGACCTTGCCGCAGCGGCTGTGGGGTAAATACTAACCGTCGTTCCTTTGCTGCACGTCATTCCCCCTCTCTCCCACATTCACACTATAGCTGTCCTTACAGATAAAGGCAATAAAGCCCCAAAAATATCTAAAAATTCCTGGAGGAGTATCCCCTGCACCCCCCTACAGAGGTCCGGGCCAAGCCTCCTATGTTATCAAATCCTACTAACGCCCCTGTATCAGAACAATCTAAATGATTGTTTCATGTAAAGCGCATTTGTAGCAACAACTCAATAACATGTTGCTGCCAATATTCAAATAGCACAAGATGTAAAACCCTATATGTCACATGTTACCTGACTGAAACGGGGGTGGGAGTTATTTCCCTGCATTCTTAGGAATCTTATCTGCATCAAGTCATGGTCAAAATATCTTTACTTTCATCAAAATCTAAGTCCTCTCCTACTTTAATCTTTATAATGCACATGCTCTAAATATTGAGGTGTGTGTCCCCAGCATCCCCCAAAAATCTACACTTATGATTATTTTTACAACCATCAAAACTGCAGCAAACCCTACATTGTGACTGCATAACTAAGAAGTTATCAACATGTCTGGCTGAGTATTTCTCGGTTGGTTTCTTTGTCTCTTTTCCACGTTGATTCTCTGATCTCACAGCTATGTGAAACTGTGTAGGTATCAGAGTTAAAGCCATTAATCACAGAAGGCTGACAATGAAAGCATACATAGACAGGCTACATAAACAAACACACACAGGAACATATCGGATCTGCCTAGTCTGACTATTGCCAATAAATCAACGTTACTTCCTTCTAGTTTCTGCAGCAGGAAAACAAAACTTAAGTTAAGTGAACTTAAGTCATAAACACGTACCTGGCATCCCAAGTCGATTAACTCCATGTTTACAAGTCTCAACCTCGGAGAGTCAAACGAACGTGATCTCTCTCCACACAGGAAACGAAAATTCAGTTGTCATCTGCAGAACTTCAGCTCATCCAGTATGGCTGAAGAGAGGGGAAACACTCTGGTCTGTTGGCGTCGACATCGAGCTCAGGCCCGAGGTAAAAGTAACGGGACAAACATGAGTTTCGCAGCGTCCATGTGGGTGCTCTGATGACACAACGTCCTGCAGCTGTTAGTTTCCAAACTGCTGCAAAAATGGTAAGGCACGAGTGCATTAAAGTGACTCCTCCCTCCTCTCACCTCTTACCTCATTCTTCCGGCTGAGGGGTCAGTCACCCTTCTGTAGGAGGCATGCTACTCCACTACATTATGATGCATTATTATGAATTAAGATAAGACCTTATTGATCCCCAGCATGGTAAAATAAAATGTTGAGTGTGTCAGGGGCGTTTCTAGGATTTGAGGACATTGGGGGTCTTTGCCCGGACTTTTTTTATTTATTTTTTCTTTGAACAACCTAGGATTTAGGCCCTCTTTAGATGACAACGGTTTCTCTAAAAACGGAAAAATCTGTCCTTTGCGTTTTAATAACCTTCCGCGTTTATATGACGACGTTTTTGAAATGATCCCCGTTCACACGGAGCCACAAAATCTACTGGAAACGCTGTAGTATGCACACCAGGCCAATGGGTGGCAGTGTAAATTTGCAAAGCAACACCACGGCATGATGCCTTGCTCCTGTGCTGAAGCGTCTTCCTCTTCAACTCTGTGATTACAAACCTAAACAAAGAAGACACACTGGCAAAAGCATGCACAGATAACTTTGTCTGGATGGACGACGAGGTGGAGTTGCTACAGTAACAGATCTACACTTCACTTCAAATCAACAGGGTGAGCAGCACAAACAGAGCTCGGCATTGTTGTTGTGACGGTTGGAATGCCTAGTGACTGGAACCGTAATGCGTATGTGTGAAAGTCTCCGTTTTCAGAGGAACTGCATATTGCAAGTTTACATGACAACAGAGACACTGCCATTTCCAAAAAGTTGCACTCTGGAACCCGTTTCAAAATGTTGCGTTTTCAGGCACCCAAAACACCGCTGTCGTGTAAACGATTGGCCAAAACGCAACTAAAGTTTACCGTTTTCAGTTGAAATCGTTGTTATATAAATGGGGCCTTATACTTCTGCATCGACTCAACGCCATACCCTACACCGTGGCCTGATGTGCACCTCCCCAGAAATGTAACAATAGCCCCTTTTACACTGCCAGATTTTCCGCTAATGTTGGGCCGTTTTGCTGGCCAGCTGCGAGCATTTAGACACACAGAGGCAGAATGGCGAGTTGATCCGAGGCGCCCAATTTTCCATCTCGTAGAGTAGTCATATTGGTGGGCCTTGAATGTGAACATATGTTTTTTCTTAGGTCAAAGGTTAAAAGCCAGGTCAGAGGTTAAAAGCTAGATTAAGCTTTATAGGCTAGATGTTTTAATGTATGTAGCCTTAGGTGATGTCTGACTGACCACCTGGACAGGGATGCCTCTCTGTCTAGGAGTAGGTTGGGTTTTGGAGATAAGAAATCATATATAAGGAGAGTAGTTTGGGCCGAAGAGAGAGAGAGCTCACATTCAGCACCAGAGACTCTCAGATTCGGCGGGTTTTTGACACTGTTCTTTTTGTAGTAAAGTCTTTTTAATATACAAGTGAAGACGTGTCAGAGGTGGTCACTTCTTTTCATCAACACATCAAGAAACAACACTGCCAATGCTGAAAAAAGACTGATTGGGCTTTCCTGCAAATTTGCACAATTCCTGTTTAAAAAGGGGTTATGTGTCACTGCAACTCCTGTTTATTTTTGTAAGCTGAAACCATTTCCCTCAGTGGAAACAGAGCTTTTATTTACTTTAATTTCACAGATAAGGGACAATACATTGTGAATAAAGCCCCCACTAAAAACAATTTAAGTCTTGTTAGTGATTTATCCTGACTTCATATGAACAGAGGAAGTCTCTGCTTGTTGCTAGGCTAATTTATACAATGTAAAATGCCATAGGCTTGTGCTAATAAGGTTAGCATGTTATATTTGTTTGGAAAACGTGTTCAGTATGACAGTTGCTTTGTCGTTTGAACCTTGTGAGTTGTAATGAAGCCAAATTTTGTACATTAACTTTGTTAAATGTTGCTGTTGTCCCTGGCCTCTATGAGGGTAGGACAAGTCCGCTAACCGCTAGGCTTATACAATGTAAATATAATACATGCTAATAACGTTAGCATGTTGAATTTGTGGGGAAAATGTGTCCAGATAAAGACAAGTGTTTGTCTGTGAATGTTGCAAATTATAGTGAAGCCAATTTGTGTACTTGTGTTTGAAATTGTCTCTATTAAGCCATGTTTAATGTGCGTTTTGAATCAACTAAACTTTACTTTAAATAGACATTTTGTGAGTGAAGTAACGTTATTCCTTTAAAAATCCAAATTGGCATTGCCAAAAATCTCGTTCCCTCATTCCACAATGAAGAGAAAAGCACACAAAGAAACCAGTGTCTGATCTATATTAGGGCTGCAATTGCCAACTATTCAGTATAACACCAAAATCTCTGACTCTGAAGTTGTCATCGATCGAGCTGCATTGTGAGTAGTGTAGGCGCGAGGCTTCAACAAGAAAGACAAATGTGTGGAATAAAAAAAATGACATCTCTGGTTCTGCTGCATCAATTTCGATATTTTTTTAAAAACCCTGTCCATCCTGAGTCTGACGATGTTACAGGAGTGTGATGCTAAAATAATTGGAGTGGTCAAGCGTGGCCAAAGCAAACAGGATGACTCGTTCAAATCCAAGGCAGGACAAACGAAATGCAGGCATATATTTAGGTCAGGGGATTTAATCATTAAACTTTTTGTTGACATTGTCATCATTAAGCCTCAGTATTCTCCTGAATAAAAAAGTAAAACAAAAATAACATTCATACACAATTCTCTCACTCACTCTCTCTCTCTCACACAGGTAAACAAACAAGTAATGAAACAACTAGATGACCGAAAGTGATTGCAACCCCAGGGTCTCAAATCACAGGCCATTATTAAGGGGATTTCTGCCACACACATAGACGTCACCACTCTGCGCATACACAATCAGCCCTATAAAAGCAGTTTCAGCGTTATCTTGGGTGGTTTGAACAGCAGAAGACACAGAAGGCACCCTGACATTTAAAGGTAAAACAGTGAAAGGTGTCAGCTGTAAACTGTGTAAATAAAATGTCATTCTTAGTTGAAGGTCTCACTTAAAATAATCACTTTTTTTTAAATCAATACACAAGTTGTAACTCTCAGAAACAACTTCCCTCTATCACAGCATATGACAGTGAATGATGGCCGACTCATTGCTCCTGGAAGACTGTCAGATATTTCAGAGATGAGCTGATACCCAGTGAAAAGAAAACAACCACAAAATGTTAACAACAATAAATGTCACGAGGGAGTGATGAATAAAGAGATGGTGGAGTGAGGCATTAATTTGTTCTTACACACACGAGTGCTTTTGTACCCTTCAAATAAAAAAAGTCACATAAAACAAGGCAACAACTTGATGGGAGAGGAGGTAAAAAAGGTCATTCGCTGTCATCGTAGACCCTGTTTTCTTCCCAGTATTTAGATCTCAAAATAATCTCACTCCTAAATCACCCTCTTTCTTCTTCTCAGACTCATTTGGCTCCTAAAGGCATAGTTCAGTTTTTTTTGAAATGGGGTTGTATGAGGGACTTACCCATAGTCAGTGCCCCCAGTTTGGAGAAGCAGACAGCACCACCCCAAAAGATAAGCGAAGTATTGCAGTAGATGGGGGCAGCAGTAAAACATATTTTTTATTACTTTATCTTGCCTTCAAACAAGTGATAAACTGAAGCCGTCACACTGCTCTCTTCACAGCCAGACTCCATTGACAAAAACAGTAATTTTACATCGTATATATAATATATATAAATGTATACTTTCCATGCCCATGAAGCTTCTTTGAAATTGAAATTAAAATAGTTTGTTGGTGTTATTGCATGATTTTGGTGTTTTGATGAGTTCGTACAGATTCACCAAGGTCTATAACACAAACAAACTAACCGATCAAGGCAGCGACAGACCAGCAACTCCCATCCTATGTTAAATGAGATAAAATTACTGTTTTTGTCAATGGAGTCTGGTGGCTTTGAAGAGAGAAATAAAACAGGGGGGGGGGGTTCACATAGTCCTCATTTAGGCGACTAAAATATGTTTTCTTGCTGCACCTGTCCACAGCAATGCATTGCTTAGCTTCTGTGGAAGTATCCCTGTCTGCTTCTCCAAACTGGGAGCGTGCCCACTGTCAGCTACTCTATGTAACACACTAACTATGGATAGGTGCCTCATACAACCCCACTTCAAAAAATCTGAACTATCCCTCTAAAGGACAAGACGCCCTTTGACCATCATCTAAATCTTCAAAATAAAAATAAAACAAAATCTCTCTTGCTTCACACCCACTCACTTTACACACACAACCCCATCATTTTCTACTCTACCACCCACATATGTATAACAACCCCGCTGTCTGGCCCTTCAGCCTTCACCCTGATCTGAGTTTTACACTCAGCCCCGTCATAGCTCATCGTGAGTGGCGGCTTCATCTGCTTTTAGTTTGAACTCTGCCTCTGTGATCTTTCCGTCTCCATTACGGTCCTGGTTGGAGAACATGTTTTCGATGATGCGATAAGGATCGAAGCCTGGAGCCAGGCGGCCTTTACCCTCGCTCACCTGCTTCATGATGTAGTCAGTAAACTGTGGAAACCAAGGAGAGAGTGAATTAAGGATACACGCACAGTAGCAAAAAGGGAAATGTCTCAGATGTTTCAGATATAACAGTAACAGCAGGTTATTATCACACACCTCAGAGGGCTCCACCTGCTTGTCCTTATCTGTGTCCATCTCAGTGAAGAGGTCGGGTGATACATCCTCATTCCAGATGAACATGTAGCCTTCAGGGAGTCCTTCCTCCATCTCTACAAGCTCGATGTCAAACACCAGCACAGCACTCCCTGGAACTTCCCCAGCTACACACACACACACACACACACACACAACATTAGCTGTTGTAGTGGTACAGCTCAGACTCAGTGGAGCCAAAGAAAGACTATGTGGAGGAACTTTCCTTCATACTGGTAAGTGACTGACTGGAAATGGTAAAACAGCTCCTTGCCTTGCACACAGGTCACATTCATGGACTGTATAATAAAGATGGAGGACATGACAGCTCCCCAAAAGTGAAGCCAAAACATCTCAATCACCCCCTGATGGCTGGCTGCAGTATAGGTCATAAACTCTGCCATATCATGGACCAAACTAAAAACTCAAAGTGCACATCAAATAAAGCAATCACTCTGTCTCCTAATGCCATCGACAGCGGAAAATGGTATCCTGTATCCTGGATACTATGGCCTCATTTTTGTGCAGCGGGAGGAAGTGGAGACGTGTTGTCCATCTTTATATACAGTCATTGGTCACATGCACAAAAAGCTGAATCTTACTACCCCTCATCGGAAAGACCACAACATATATGCTCCATTATTACTACAAGTGTGCTTGTGTGTGACTTACTGACTCCTCTCTCCCCATAGCCCAGGTGAGGAGGAATGACAAGGTGTCTTCTCTCTCCTACACACATGTCCATCAGTCCATCCTCCATCCCTGGGACTATCTGGTTGGCTCCCAGGACGATGTTGTATGTCTTTCCATAATTATACCTGAAACAAATTGAGTTGGAATGAAATAGAGAAATAAATAATTGTATGTTTAGTTTTCCCCGACAGTCGTCCCTCTGTTACATTTCCAACCATGCTGTTTATACACGTCCTTCACACACAGGACTGTCAACACTTGTCTCTCATGGTTTCTCAGTTTTCTAAGACTTGTTAAATCAGGAGGCGTCTCACAGAAACTCACTTACGTGGAGTCGATGGATGAGCCGTCCATCAGAGAGGCATTGTAGTGATACTTGACAAAGTCTCCCTTCTTGGTTTGCTTATCACACTCATCTGGCATGTAAATTACGGTCACCACAGTGCTGTCTGATGGGTTGTGGAAGTCGATGATGTGAACGTCAAACACCAACACAGCTGAGCCAGGGATCTTAGAGCCTGAGAGAGAGAGATATGGTAACAAGAAAAAAAAAAAAAGAACCAATATTAAAGGAATACTAGTCCATACCCATTGAGTGCACAGTTTCACATGGTGTGTATTTGGGATACAGGTCATAGGAAATTGCAGATTAAATAGTCAACTGAACCCATTAAGAAGAGCAATGTATTCAGATTGTTTTTGTGAATTTGATAGTACGATTGCTTTATTTAAAGTACAGTAGTACCATTGCCAATAGTGGGATAGTTAGTGGGCTAAAACTGTACATTAGTAGTTGAGGTAGCTCGTTGAAAGGCAGATAGTTAAAGTGTTTATGTTGTATTGACTTAAAAGTGGGGCGCACTGGTAGAATTACTGACTGACTGACAGAATGACACACTGACAGTTTCCGTGATTATGTACAGCATACCATACCATGACTTAGTCATACCAAGAATCAGAAAAAAAAAACCCAACATCCAGCCACAGGGGGAGCCACAGCGATCGGTCGCATTTTAGCCATTTTTAAGCATTTTTCTGTTGTTATAGCGCCACCTTGTTGCCAATTAGAGTTAAATTCCTCCAGTCACCTTGAGGCGTCCTGTTCTACATATCTACCAAGTTTAGTAAAAATCGATATGGCAGTTAGGCCTAGATAAGAAATTAGCTCTCTAGTGCCCCCATTTTGTTTGATGGGGTCAATAATGGAGGGGTCCCCTCAGATTATGTGTGGTCATATGCCTACAAAGTTGCGTGGTGATCGGTGAAACCCTTGAGATGTTATCCACCTTTATGTGATGAGCCACGCCCTCCACAATATTCATTGCCTTATAGAAGCTCAGTTTTAGTAAGTTTTCCAACTTTTGCCAAGAGGGAACTTTAGATATTGGTCCCTAGATTATGTTCACCGAGTTTCATGCAGATCAGTCAAACTTCCTAGGAAGAGCTCGATTTTAAGTGTTTTTCAAAAAATTCAAAATGGCGGAAAATCTATATAACCGGAAGTTATGGGTTCTTGAGGCAAATTTGTTCCTCATGAGGAGAAGCATCTCTGTGCAAAGTTTCATGTCTCTACGACATAAGGGGCATGACATATGCCCATTCAAAGTTTGCAATTTCAATCGGTTGCTATAGCGCCCCCCCTTTTGGAGTGCAAGGCTTACTTATGAATGGACAAGTTAGGCTAATTTTAGTTGGCCCAAGGTCAAGTTAAATGTGTCAAGGCACCATTTTAGGTAACAGTATACATGCCACCAGTGACAGTTTCAGCAAATATGATTTTTTTCATAGAAGTTACCAACTACATCTTTAGGAAGTACTCTTGGGAAGTTTGTGAGGGACTGGTCCCCAATAGCAATATACCTAAAAGAGGAACTCATTAAGGGTACTAAGTATGAGGGTAACAGACAGATAACAGAGTAAGTGCATGTAAACCACATTTTGTGAACTCGCCTGGTTGTGACTACTGCTCTTGCTCACTTTTATTGTTTTGTTTATGTGTTTGTTCTTATTTTGTAGTTTTCATTTTGTCTTAATTGTAGGTCTATGTATTGTATTATTTCATTAGTGTTCAAAATTAAAAAAATGTTGAAACACACCTGTGCCCTCCTCTCCATAGCCGAGATGTGGGGGGATGATGACGGTGCGCCTCTCTCCGACACAGACTCCAATCAGACCTTCATCCATGCCGGCAATCACGTAGCCTTGTCCCACATAGGTGTCATAGGTGCGATTACGAGAGTAGCTGTGGAACAGAAAATATTATTTTAAGTATTTTTACACCGACCCATGGAAAAACAAAAACACAGTCATTCTGGGAACTAAATATAAAGTGAGTTGTTATTTGATCACACATAAAGGGCTTTAGGCAGTGAAAAACCAAATGACACACAACTGCCTAAAAGAGTGGACTATAGGACACAAAATAAGTCTAATCAAGGGAAATGATTTCGAGAACATCTTACCAATAAAACCGCTGTGCATGAGTTGCAGGAAGCAGTTGGAGGATGCATTTGTGGTTTTCGCTGATGCAAACATTCAGTGCCGTGACATTTTAGAAAACCTCAAATGTCTGGCATAAGTATTTGCATGTAGAGATGTGCAGCAGGATGCTAATATGGTGGCTTTTCGTAAGTCCATGATGTCTGTATAGAATTTCTTAACAAAAGCTACATGGTCTAACCTGCACGGCTGCACATGATGAGAACTTACTGAGCTGTTCATTGTCAAAGCAGATGTTTCAAGCAACGTTCCTCAAAAAGAGAACTCTGTCAGCTTCACAGAGATTTTCTAAAGCTATAACCAGAAATAAATAAAACATATTTGCAACACTTTTTTGTTTTCTACATGTACTGGAAAAGATCTTTATATTACAGCCTAGAATATTTAATTGAAGACATTAATTTTTCTAGTTTAATTTTAGACTTTGTTTTCAATCTTCTCGGATATAAAGACACTTGTCAGCTGACCAGAAATTTACCACATGAACCAATCCTCTGTTGTGGCAGCACTAAAAAAGAGAAGTTAAACAACTTTTTACTGGATGCAACACTTTTTAAAGCGTACAGGAAATGGCGTTTAAGTTTCGATTCCTCTCTCAATATGTCTTCAGTACACAGGGTGATGCTGCCACCCTGAGGCCACTTGAGGAATAACATTTATGTCTGTTTCTAATAAGATTTACTATGAGCTTTATTTAACTCTGACACACACCTGGAATCAAAAAATGTTCCATCAAGGAGGCTGCCGTTGTAGTGGTAGCGTACAAAGTCTCCAGCTACGGTCTTCCTCGTGCAGGGCTCGGGTACCACCTGATTGGTCACTGTGATCCCATCTCTGGGGTTGTGGAGGTCCAGAAGTACGACATCAAACACAAGAGATGCCTGTCCTGGGATGTCGCTACCTGGAGAGAGGAAGAAGAAAGGTTGAAGACAAGGAAGGAGGCAGGTACAGGGATGAGGAAGTACTGAAGTATTATTCCTCATACTACTTCTAATCATGACCAGGATCAATTCCACAACCAAGTTGGTGGAAAGTGGATTTAAAATGATTTTGTTAAACTATTTTTACAAGGTCAAGAATAAACTTTTAGTAGAAACAATGATAATGTAACATGAACATGTCAATATTTATTGTTACAAATGTCTGGCATTAAATGGAGGCCTAATTTAAAAGTTAGAAATGTTGGTCAGACTGGATGCGATTATATTTCACATATTTCAGTGTACTGTTTAGCTGTAAAATGAGAACGTTGGTCAGGCCGGTGGGCAGTACATGGTACTCATTTAACCATCTCCAACAGGGTGGCTGGGTCACAAACTTTCTTGTTTTACAGCCAAACAGTACACTAAAATATGTCTGAACAAATCTGAAGCAAGAAATAAGCAATGCAGTAACAGAATCTTGATTCATATTTGATCAGAGCTGCCTAGTTTGACAATTTGGCCGCAGTTCACCAGCAGTGATTGACATGATTCACAGCTGCCTTAGAGAATCCTCCGCTCTGATTGGTTGTTTTTGTTCACGCGTGGTAAGGCCATGAAAAGCACTCCAAGGCAACAGACTAGGCAGAAGAGTATGGTTTTGTAATTTTAGTGATCTGTGTGATTTCAGTGACAGTTTCAGAAAATTTAACAAAATATTATTTTTAAATAAAAGTCATCAACTACAGCTTTAACAATGCTACATGCCCTGAAAGTGAAATGTCAGCATTACTTTTTTCCAATTAACTTCAGTTTCACTTTTTAATGAACTTGTTTTAACCAATAATTACAAATTTTAAAAGCATTCCTGATTTTTGGAAATTTAATCTACTATTATTACTCTGTTGTTAAAATGCCATTACATTTAGTAAAGTGTGCACTGTGACTTGTTTAGGACTCAAAACTTGTCAGTCTTGACTTGACTTGGGATTTGAGTGCAAAGATTTACTTGTGACTTGCAAAGAAATGACTTGGTCCTATATGTGCTTGTAAGTAAACATGGCAAAAAGTAAAGGAATAATTTAATATTTGGCGAGATAGGTTTACTCCCTTGATGTCAGACAGATAAATGAGTATGTGAGAAGGCCAGTGCCTCTCTTAGATCTGTAAACATGTCAAACAACTCGCAGGTAGTTAGCTTAACGTAGCACAATGACTGAAAACACAGGGAAACAGTTAGCCACTTCCTGATTTCTCTGCTGCGTTTCCTGTCTGGTGAGCAATAAGGAAATTGGAATTGAGGAACTGAACTAGCTGTCACTCAATTTAGATAAGTTAAACTGTATTTGGCTAAAAAATGATGACACAATTAATCAAATTTGTCAAAGTCCAAACTAAAAGGACTTCAAAAGTTGCAGTGTTTGCAAAGACATTGATCAGGGCTGGTGTTTTGGGAAAAGAAGGACTGACACTGAGAGGTTACAACAAGATGAGATGTGTAGTTTCACTGCAAATGTGTGTGATGTACTGCCACCTCATGTTCCAAGTGTGCAACTACAGCACCTGATAATTTCCATTGTAACTACAATTCTCTTATCATTAAGGGTCACTTACAGGAATGTGATCAGACTTTAACGATAGTGAACACAAAAATCAAAAAATACATACATTTCCTCTTTTTTTTGGTGTGAGTTGCTGAGTGTTGGAGATATCGGCTGTAGAGATGTCTGCCTTCTCTCCAATATAATGGAACTAAATGGCAATGAACTGTGCCTTTAAGGAAACAAATGAATGTAAAGGAATTGTAAGTATTCACCGTCTCCATTCTCTCCATATCCAAGTGATGGTGGCATAGTGATGATGCGTCTCTCTCCAACACACATCCCCAGAAGGCCCTGATCCATACCAGCGATCAGCCACCCGATCCCAACGTATGTGTCATAGGTACGCATGCGGGTGTGGCTACAGCAAAGGGTGGAGGAGAGATGTTACATATACAGTATATATGTGTAAGTGTATTTAATGTGATTGAGGGGTTAATATACAGAACAAACCTGGAATCAAACAGTGTCCCGTCCAGCAGTGTGCCGTTATAGTGGTAGCGAACGTAGTCAGACACCTCCACTTTTCTGGAGCAGGTGGGGGGGGTGTGGTAGGTTTTGATCTGGACGCCATCCTCTGGGTTCCACACGTCAAGGAGCAGGACATCAAAGTGGAGGATGGAGTCAGGGGGGATGATGTCACCTGAGGAGGAGAGGAAAAAAGGTCATTCAACTTCAAACAGCAAACAGGACTCGCTGATCTCACTCACGTGTTTAATCACTCTCACACTGGGTCTTGATAACATGACCTGAAGTCATGTTACCAAATCTCAAGATCATTACTGCCTACTCTTCTCTGTGAGCCTTGCAAGTAGGTGAAGCCAAAACCAAAAACATTTAGATAAAAGAGAGTCAGTGCTTTGGATGTGACATAGCTAGGAAGATGCGCATTAAACTGCTGCATCAAAAAGGCAAATTTACATCAGTGATTTATTTTCTCAAGATGTTGTGTGCTGGTCCTGCGTCTGTTCAGAGATCTACGGCATTTTGAAATATGGGTGTTTTATTTTGAATTAAAATAAAAATACTAATACTTATTACATATTACTTATTAACACTTATGCACTCACTTTTGAAGACTTCTAAGGTTTTGAAAGTCAGCAAAGTTTGTGTGACTTTTACCTGAGATTACTATTAAAGGAATACCTCACCAAATGATCAATTCTCTTTCAGTTAATCAAGAAAGGACGGAGGAGAGATCCGCACACCAATACAACAGCAGCAAACGTTTCAGTCCTTGATTATCGTCAGCACTGATGATAGTCAAAGACTAAAAGATTTGCTGCTGATTTTATTCACTTTTTATTATTTTTTGCCCTTTGAGCAACTTTTTTGTGCATGGAAGTTCTTAATAAATTGACAATTCTTTTGCATTCATCTCAGCCTGTGAACCTTTTTTGTGGCTGTCCAGCCCAGTTGTATTGGTCCTCACTTGGCTGTCCATTGTACCGTTGCACCCATGATTAACTTTTTTGCTGCCCTAAGTAGGTGCAGTTTCACAGCAGCCCTAAGACTACTTAAGTGATTCACCCTGTCTTCAGCAAACATGTAAAATGAAGAGACAATGTTGTTTAATTGACTTATTCTAAACTCACAAAGGACAGCAAAAGGAGTAACTTATTTCCATATCAATATAACAAACTATCTGGTCTTAAAGGGATAGTGCACCCAAAAATGAAAATTTACCCTCACCCATATGCCGATGGAGGCTCAGGAGAAGTTTTAGAGTCCTCACAACACTTGCGGAGATCCAAGGGGAGAGTAGCAACACAACTCCACCTAATGGAGGCTTACGGCGCCCCAGATTCAAACGTCCCAAAACACATAACTGAAACCACAAAATATCTCCATACTGCTCGTCCGTGATCCAAGTGTCCTGAAGCCCCGACATAAGAAGTTGTTTTTAGCCTCATTGTAGCCTGTAGCTCTGACTGCCTCTCTGTGCACCGCGCTCACGTGTGCGAGCTTGTGCGAGACAGTGAGACATGGACACCGCGTTCATGTGTGTTCACGTTTTCACTGGTCTCCCCTCGCTGGACACTTGGATCACTACGGACGAGCAGTATGGCGATATTTTGTGGTTTCAATTATGTGTTTTTGGACGTTTGAATCTGGGGCGCCGTAAGCCTCCATTAGGTGCAGTTGTGCTGCTACCCCCTCTCCCCTTGGATCTCCCCAAGTGTTGTGAGGACTCTAAAACTTCACCTGAGCCTCCATCGGCATAATGGCTATATTTTCACTTTTGGGTGCACTATCCCTTTAAGTCTGTACAGAACAAGTACAACTATTTAGAGTGGCACTGAAAATAATATACATAGGTTAAATACTTCACCCACAAAACAATCCCTCCTATATCAGTTACTCACCTTGTGTTACATTGAATGTGTGAAGAAAACTGTGATGAAACAGTGAATGAAGAATCCGAAACAGAGGAAATTCTTGATGAATAGAAGTCATAGAGCCGCGTTTTAACAACAGCAAAATTACATCAAAACACATGTTTACAAACTCTCACACAACTCGTGCAGTATAATCCAAGTCTCATTTTTTCAGTGGAATGCTCAGTGCTTCTAATTAAAACACGCACTACTCATCCATGCGTGAGACTGTTTATGCAGAAGTGTTTTAAGTAGTAGTTTTAGGGAAAATGCACGTGTTTCAGAGGTACTGAGTTATACAGTTGGATAAATGGAACTTGGATTACACTGCACAATTTGTGTGAGAGTTCATAAAGATAGAATTAAGATAGTTTGCTGTTGTTAGACGCGGACTCCTATGACTCCTATTCATCAGGAATTTTCTCCATTTTTGGATTCTTCGTTCACCGTAGGGGCATATGAGAAAAACCAAGTGTTCATCATGAATTCAAAGTAACATGGGGTGAGTGATGTGCAAATTACCTTTTGAGGGGTGATATAGTTTCTGTGAGAAATGCTCATCAGACTGACTAAATATATGATTTATATATGATTTATCATAGAATTGGATATGACAAGACTTTTTTTTTTCTTCAGTCATTTTTGGGGCAGTCTACAATATATCATGTTAAAAGCAGAGATGCAAAGATTGGTCACTAATTAATAAGTATTTTCCTGAAAACAAAGATGCAGCCTTAAAAATAACTGTGTAATCATGCAAAGTAAAGTACTCTTCATTTCATTAACCCCCCCCAGTCCCAAAAACAGGACATGACCCTGGTGCCCTCAGCTACAGCCTGAACAGCAGTAACTGATCAGTCCGTCCACTCGCCAACATTTATTTTGGTGAGTGCAACATCTCAACCAGCTGTGCTTTAAACATTATCATGACTCATTGCCTTTTGAGCCTTTATTAACTCAACAAGTGCACAGGAAACATGGACAAGAGGGTGAAGGGGAAGGTATGTGGGAGTTAGGTGCAGGAGGGGTGCAAGGAGCGTGTGGGTGGCAGCCGTTACATCTTTACTAGTAATGAGCTGGCAGGCCTCTTTCTGGTTTAAATCTCTCTCTGACTATTCCTAAACCTCACCTCTCTGTTTTCTCTCTCTCTGATGTTCCTTCTGATACAGCCTCGTTGTGGAGGATGCAGCCGCAGCTTCTACCTGTCCACACATGCCCCCCTCTGTCTCCCATTATCTAACTATTTCATGCACACACTAATACATACACTGACACGCCAGTCTCTACATGTAAACAGAGCCTCCACATTCTTCCTCTCATCACTGCGATCATCCTTACGTATATATATATATACATATATATATATATATACACATTTTCTGCAAGACACAGCCTCTACGATGCCCACAGTGGCCCAGATTTATTTATGTTTTTACACAGATCAAGTTCTAGAAAGTTTGACAGCCTGCTGCTGATGCTCAACCATCTGTGGCGCAGTCACCGACAGCTGAAAAGTCTTGATCCAAAGCAGCTTCCTGGTTTGTGATGTCCCTCTGACATCATTCAACATGGACGCTCGGGGGCAGCCCACTTCCTCTCTGCTTTGGTCGACTCTAGTACAACACAATGCAGCACTTTCTGCAAAGCCTAATATCTGTCCCTTATGCTCCTGCCAATCTCCGACCAAATTCCCTCATTATTATAGTGAGCGGTGCCAACCGTGTGCTCACTCATCTGTGTATTTATAATGACTCCCCAGTGGAATAAACACCGGCCCGTCCTCTAACTTGGTGGAGAACATGTTATATACTGTCCTGACTGACCTGGAACAATCAGCCAGGACAGGGACGTGCTCAAGTGACAGGAGGTTTAAAACACACCGTATCCCTTTTTTCCGTATGCGAGGTGAGGTGGGATCTTGACCAGGCGTCTCTCGTTGACACACATCCCCACCAGAGCTTTGTCCATCCCTTCGATCAGCTGCTTCTTGCCCACAAACACGTTGTAGGTGCTGCCACGGTCGTAACTGAAACACAGAAGAACGTTACTTTTAAATACCTGTGAGGACAGGAATGACTGCATTACATTCATTCAGTGTTTACTCCAACTACAAATGTACTCATACCCTAAAACAAACACTACAAGCCCTAGCTAAAGGTTTTGTTCCAGTGAACACATGACTGCTTATTGTGGAAAAAACAACCTGTGAGGAACAATTAAATCACTCACCTTGCTTTAACAACTCAATCAGAAAAACTCACTTAGGCAAACTTTCACAATACGTCACACTGGCCGGTCAGGGTTCAGATTCATTCAGAGTAAATGCACCAGAATCTTATTGTGATGTCTCATGCAGGTTATACTTGTGTTTTTACACTGTCATTTTGTGCCTGAACTTGAGTTATTCAGGACATGAGATCTAAATTTCATCATCTTTAAAGCCTGTGATGGCTTAAGATTATGGATGGATTACTGAGAGGGCCTACCAGGCACAGGCCCAGGGGCCCAGAGTGTCAGGGACCCCCTCTGGCCCTCACCTGCAAAGTGTCACTTGAAGAGACATTTACAGATCAGGAAGTGACTCAAAATGACCACAAAGAACCATAAAACGACTACAAAGAGACACAAAACAGCCACAAAGAGACTCACAAGGCTACAGTAAAAAAAGGAAAAGCAATCACACAGAGACATAAAATGACAGGAAAGAGACACAAAGAGACTGACGATGACTACAAAAAAAGGCAAAACGACCACACAGAGACTCAAAATGACCACAAGGAGACATAAAACAACTACAAGGAGACACAAAACAACCACAAAGAGACCCAAAGAGACTGACGGTGACTATGAAAAAAGGCAAAACAACCACACAGAGACACAAAATGACTACAAAGAGACAAAAAGACTACAAAGAGACAAAAGACAACTGCAATGAGACACAAAGAGACTGATGACAGCTACAAAAAAGGGCAAAACAACTACAAAAAGACACAAAATGACCACAAAGAAACAAAAACACTACAAAGAGACAAAAAAACACCTGCAAAGAGACACAAGGAGACTGACGACGGCTACAAAAAAGGGCAAAACAACTACAAAGAGACACAAAGTGACAGCAAAGAGACACAAAGAGACTGACTGTGACTATGAAAAAAAGGCAAAACGACCACACAGAGAAACAAAGTGACAGCAAAGAGACACAAAAAGCCTACAAAGAGAGGCAAAGCGACTACATAAAGACACAAAATCACAAAGACATGCATAACAACTTGAAAGAAATGCAAAACAACAATAAAAAGAGGCTTAACAGCAACAAGGTCTGTATGTCTTGCTCCTGTGTAGGAGAGGTGGTGGGGCCCTCTGTATGTCTGTGCCCAGGGGCCCATTGTCTCAAAATCCGCCCATGATTACAACGCATCACACAGGTACATACAACCAGATTAAAATGTGTAAGATCTGTCTCCAAGAATATGTACAATGTCTCTGCAAGACCAGGCCACAGCATTAGCTCATACTGCAGGGCCCGCCTACTTTAACAGATCAAATTCTTTAACAAATGTGCAATTAATTAAATGACCAAAAAGTGAATCTGGGGCTTTTGGGGCCTTTGGGGCTCTAGGGGCTCTGGGTACTATATTGTTACTACTTGCTACCAGATCAGTGGTTCCCAAAGTGGACTCCAGGGACCTTCAGAGGTCGTGGAGGGTCTTTGATGCACAGGTTTCAATGGATCCAGTGCTATCAAACAGGCTAATGTAAATCTAAAGGAAAATTCTCCATCTGGTCAAATTGAGGCCTTTTGTGTGATCAGTGTGGACATGAGAAGGGTTTGGAGCCCTTTCATGTAGCTTACATGGATCCAGAGCTCAATCATCCTGCCTGCCTGCCTGCGTGGCTCAATGGGACGACCCACTCAACGCGCACTTTTACGCATCACGCACGCTGTTCGCACCGTGAACCCGGTCTGCTCTGCACACTGAGACTCAAAAAAGTGATCATAAAAGCATTGTCTGCATCATACTCACCTCGAGTCGAACTTCTTGCCGTCCGGAAACACGCCGTTGTAGTGATACCTGACATAATCCCCCACTTTGACTGCGCGCACACACTCCTCTGGCACGAAAGTTTTCTCAATGAGGATGTCGTCTAACGGTACCGGAGGAGCGTTGCAGGCGGCGAACGCCACCAGAACCGACAGAAACAGCATCCCCTGCAAACACTGGTTCATTTTCTCTGCTGACAAACCTTCAGACGATGGAGATAACTGAGGTACGGCCTGTGTGAGTGTGTGCTGCCTCCCTGTTCTCCGGTACTTTGATTTCCTCTACTCAGACTTGGATAAGAAGTCCTGCCCCCGGTCCCAGCGCAGGAATTATCACATGTCAAGCTGCTTTTACAAGCACAACTTCCGGTTGAACTCTAAAGACAAAACGTCGACTGATGACCTTAATAGTATGTTTTGTCAATTACGCACAGATGTAAACTGCTGCAAAATAAATAATCAGATGTCTGTGTGAGACACGAGCAGATACAAACCCAGCTCAGACAGCCAACTGTTCTATTATTTTGAAATTACAATCTACACTTCCTGTCTCATCCTGCGTCTTTTTGGCTGACTTGACGCACTATGGGATTGAATGGGATAGTTTTGGGCACCACGTATTGCTCTTGCGCAGTGCAGTCACTGAGATGTGTCAACGTGGTAACGTAGGGGTCTCACAGCTGCAAACACATCCCCCCCTCTGCACCCGTGTAAATCAGAATAATGCACACATCTGGATACACCTCTGGACTGCTGTCAAAGTGTGACAATGCGCATAAGTTTGCTTTTGCATGATGATGTGTCCACATAGATAGCTGTGTTGTTGGGGTGCAGGCCTGTGGAGACCACACAGGAATGTCTCTACGTGGCAGTGGGAGGGGGTGGGACACTTTCACCAGGGGTTTAATTTGTGACCGACAGGAAACAAGTTTAAACTTTAAAGAGCAGTATTTCATGGAATATAATTTGTTAGTCCTGAAATATAAAATAACGGGCAAATACATTTGCTCTTTACCTAAAATACAGGAGAGTCTCCCACAGGTGTTATTTTATGGTTTATGAGCTCTGCTGCCTGTCAGGTTTTTACTTGCTCTGTAAAAGGACAAACAACAGCAGTGATTTACTTGTGTGATTCAGTGGGAGGAGCAGCTCCAGCAGCCCCCACCCGCTGCAGCGGCTGTTCCAGCCCTGCGCCCGGGGGTGGGGAGGCTTTTGTCCGGATACGTGGTGGAACTTGAGGCGGTCCCACGCACCCACTCCGGGATCATCCCAGCCCATCTCCCAAACTCAAAAATGGCACCCTCCACTTCTTCCCAGCTCTTCTCGGCGCTTTTAATCGTACTTTCCACCTCTGTGGTGAACTCTCAGTATGAAAAATACAGCTTCAGGAGTTTCCCCAGAAATGAGCTGATGCCCCTGGAGTCCGCGTACAAATACGCGCTGGACCAGTACACCGGAGAGAAGTGGAAGGAGACGGTGGAGTACATGGAGGTATCTCTGCGGCTGTACCGGTTGCTCCGGGACAGCGAGGCCTTCTGCAACCTCAACTGCAGCTCCGTCCGGCTGGACGACGAGCAGAAGTTTGCGGAGTTTCCAGAGCTGCGGGCGTTTGGGAACGTCATGAAGAGGGCGCAGTGCCTGAAGCGATGCAAACAGGGGCTGCCCGCTTTCAGGCAGACCATGCCCAGCCGGGACACCATAGATGAGTTTGAGAGGAGAGAGCCATACAGATACCTACAGTTCGCCTACTTCAAAGTAAGCAAATATGTGAAATATGTGGGGTCACCAGGGGGGTCAAAGGTCTCCAAACCCTGGACTTGTATGCGTTTAAATTTCTGTTTGACCTTATGACGATCCAATGCTAGTATAAGGTGATGGTTCTCAATGCATCCACAGTTTCTATTTAACGTCACTGCTTTTTTCCCTGAAACGTGTTCTGACGTCATCTACGGGTCTGTGCTGCAAGAGGTGCTGAACTTTTACCTGTCAGTGCTTCAGTCTTCTTGTTCTCCCTTTGAAGAAGCAAAATAATAAAGACACATAAGGACATTTTACTGGTCATTTCCTCCACAGGGGAACTAGTTTAAAATTTAGGTTATTACATTTTATTCACATGCAACATTCATACAGAGGGGTGACAAAATAAAAGAAACCTGAATACTTTTAACAAGCCGATTGACCTATTGTACAGAAACAACATTCATTTCTTATTATCTAAAATACAGTCTATGATTCACAGCTATTCAGAATTAATTTATTGGTTTTTAGTTGTAGTGTATCATATTGGTAAATGATAAATGGACTATAGTGCTTTTTTAGTCCTAGAAAACACCTAGAGGGCTTTGCGTCACCCATTAGCACACATTCACACACTGGTGCCGTCCATACAAGGCACCACCTGCCCCTCAGATAAACATTCAAACACACTCACACACCAGCAGCCACAGCAATCGGATTTGGTGTTCAGTGTCTTGCTCAAGGACACGTCAACATGTGGACACTCTAAACATGATAGGAGACCCTGTTTTGGTGCGATATGGCACCCATCTTTTAAAAGATACAGCAGCTTTGCCAAATAGTGCTATAGAACCATCAGAAACCATATAGCCCTATTTTGTTTGTAAATTTCTGAACTTGAGGGTGCTTGAATGATGTCATATAACACCATGGACGAGTCAATGTGCTTCTAAATGACACTTTTATTTTAAATAAGGGTGGTTAGTTTTAAAATGCTCACTGGGAAACATAGTATGCTACATTTTCAAACCTGAAGTAGTTTTGTGTACATGTAGGCACAAAGGTTCCAGTGCTTTAATGTGTTATTCTGTGGAAATACACTGTTTATTTTTTAACTTCTTTTTATTTTCAACAAGTTAAATGGAGTCTCACAGTGCAGTCATTATGTTCACAGACACAGCCCATGCATAAAAGAGTCCATGGAGCTTGGGATCTTTTCAGTGTCCTTTTTTTTAATAAAGAATATTTTTTATTCAGTATTAACAGGATTGCACAAAGCATGTTCACAGCAGGTATTAAACTTAAAGCATATGTGTGATGGGGAACAAAACTTGACATCAAATCACAATCCTCGTACCCCATACCCAAACCCCTAATAACAGCCGGGATATCGTCAGTAGGACGGTCCTCCATCTCCTGAGTAGTGCAAAAAATTGAATACATTTTTTTAAAATGATAGATGCGCTGAAAGTCAGGCTCATTATTAAAAGAGAGGAGGAGGGATGTCTATGTAAAGGCAGGTTCAGAATGACGGCGTACTTTATCAGAGTGTGCACTGACAGAAAGCACCAAGACCAAGAAACAAACACAAAATCATTAGACTAACTGGCAACTCTGAAAGTGCTTCAGAAAGGGGCCCCAAACCTTTTGGAATTTTTCATTTGAGTTACTGTTTGAGTAGCGAATCTTTTCAAGATTTCAATGTCCATTTTTGATCGTCCACCATTTGATGGTCCATATTTGAATGTCTTAAAATGTCTAAATGGGAGGTCAAAGAGTCCAGTAGATAATTTAAAAAGGTATGAAATAAAAGGTGCCCATTTAGTTTGAAATATATCTGTTTTTAAGTGCAGTTATACTTTCCCTACAGAAAAAATCTTGTAGGCTGTTTTAATGTAGTGTTTTTATTCTTTCCCCAGTAAACTAAACTAACCTCAAGAACCAGTAAGGAAACCTCTGTAGAACATCACACGGACTTAAAGGGTTCTCGATTGGTTTCTCAGCTTAGTTTAGTTTAGTGTACCAGTAGAGAATCACCAAAGAACAATACAGGGGCTTAAAAAGATCACTCTTCAATCCAAAAACCAAAGAACCGCAGAAGAACCTTCCCATTAGACAGCTGCTTTACCTCCTGAGCCACCGCCGCTCCAGTTTAGTGTTAGCATCTCATTTATATTATTTCCTCCACTGAGGAGCACAACAAACAATGTGTGTTTGTGTTATTTCCCCCAGTCCAACAATGTGGCCAAGGCAGTGTCTGCTGCCCACACCTTCCTGCTGAAACACCCAGACGATGAGATGATGCAGAGGAACATGGCCTACTACAAGAGTCTGCCCGGAGCTGATGAACACCTCAAAGACCTGGAGACTAAATCCTATGAGGTACACACATATACGTGCACACACAGGCTGCATACATGTGATGAGTCACACCCAAACCCGCAGTCTTTGTGAACACACACACACACATATAAAAATCGTTCTATTATTGGCTCTGTGGGTGAGCTGATGTGGTAGCAGCCTGTGGTGAACCGGCCAGGCTCGCTACATCATGGGGCGATTCATTCAGACCAATGCTTCCCAAAATGGGGCCTTCAGTTGTCCCTGACAGGGCTGTCATGGCCCCAGTAGGAATGACAAAAAAACCTGAACTTGTTACAGTCGTTAACTATGAAATAAACACCTCAGTGATTTTAGAGTTTGACTGAACCAAAATGAACATGTATCTCTTCAGGAGTCTGCAGTGTAGACACTCGTCCTTGTCATCGCTCCATACAGACAATTAAATATAATTATATTATTAAAAATATCACTGACTTTAATAAGACATCCATGTGGAACACTCCAGTAATGAAATCATGCCCAGAATGAACATAATTTCCTTTGTTTGTGTGTCGCCGCAGACGCTGTTTGTGCGTGCAGTGCGGGCGTATAATGGAGAAAACTTCCGTACCTCGGTGTCAGACATGGAGCTGGCTCTGCGGGACTTCTTCAAGGTCTATGACGAATGTTTGGCAGCATCCGAGGGCCCCAGAGACGTCAAAGACTTTAAAGACTTCTACCCCTCGATAGCTGGTCAGTTCACACCTGTCTCCTCTGCAGTACTTCAGCTCTGACTCTGTTCTTGTTGACCTGGTCGTCTATCACTGCGTTTCTGTTTTGTTAAATACCTGTTTTGCATCTGTCTTCTTTTTTCCATATTACTTTAATCCTCTCTCTACAGATCACTACATAGAGGTCCTCAACAGGAAAGTGAGCTGTGAAAGTGACCTGACGCCTGTCGTAGGAGGTTTCGTCGTCGAGAAGTTTGTGGCCACCATGTACCACTACCTGCAGTTTGCCTATTACAAATGTGAGTAGCATGTTGTTTCCCCAAGGTCCGCTGTGCTATGACTTTAATAAAGGAGGATCCCAGGTTTAAATTTAAATGCTGTGTTTTTGTTGTTGTTTTTAGTGAAGGACCTGAAGAACGCAGTACCATGTGCAGCCAGCTACGTGCTCTTTGACCCCAATGATGAAGTCATGAACAATAACGTGGCCTACTACAAGTTTCACAGAAAGC